GGGCCGCCGGCCGGACGTGCTCGAAGAGCCTCTTGGCCGGGATGAGAAACTGGAGCAGGCAGCAGAGCCCATCACCCTGGTAGCTGGTCTCCAGCAGCCGGAACACCTGGCCCAGGACTGTGGGGGCCGTGGCCTCGAAGGGTGGGTAGAGGGCCTGGAGGGCACCCTGCACCGCCGCGTCCAGCGACCCGGCGTCCTGCGGGAGGAACACGGTGGGGGCTGGGACAGCAGCCCCACAACGGGGCACCCCCCCCCCGGCTGGCAGCACTGCTGAGCTCAGGGGGGCTCCAAACCTCCCTGGGCTGGAAACTGAGGAGGAACTGGGTGCAGAGCACACCAGGCACCACACGGCCAGAGGACATGAGCACGGCCAGGTCTGGTTCCCAGCACCAGGCTGTGGTTTGAGGAGCCTGGGGTGAGCCCCGAGTGCAGCTTCCCACTGGCTGCAGCCCAAGGGGTTAAGGTGAGCCAAACACAGCACAGGGATGTGCTGGGCTCTGCAGCTTGCTGTAGGAATGCAGCAGTGGGAGGAAGGACACACATCAGGAGGTGGAGAGGGTGTTTCAGGTCAGACTCCTCAGACTTGCAGAACTCAAGATTAGCCCTCGGAGCATTTTCTGGGAAGCACTTTGCTGGTTCCAGCCCCCTCCCCTGCACTGCCAGACCCGCACAGGACCCACACGGCTGGTTTCATGCCACATGTAAACTGGCAGTTCTGAGTTTGCTCTCCCAGCTTTGCAGCAGATGTTGGCCCTGCAGCCCTGGCTGCTGCAGCATGTACATGGAGGGAACCCACCAGTGGCTCCCATTAAATCCCATTACAGACAGTGCAGGGGTGACCATGGACATGGCTGCCCAAAGGACCCCAGCAGCAAGTGGGAAAGGCAGAGACCTCTCCCCCACTCTGTGCAAGTTATTTCTGCAGGAGAGCTTCAGAGAAACACTTCAGTCTGGGGCGGGTGATCAAATGGAGCCTTTTCTGCTGGAAATGGTGCTGCTGTGGGGAGGTGCAGGTTTCTGCATGGTGCAGGGTCAGGCCTGGCCAGGGATCTGCTGCTCTGCAGCAGGATGCCTCTCCTGCAGAGTCTGATCTGTGCTACCTCTGCCAGCCGTAGGGTACCGAGGAGCCCAAGCTGTGCCACCAGCTGCAGCCCATGGCCATCCTGAGCTTGTCACCTGGGGCTGGGCTCCAGATTTTTGGCAGAGGGTCCCCAGCACCGCAGACTGCAGGGACCAGAATCCTCCGGGCAGCCAGAGCAGCAGCCAGATCCTGCTCCCCAGGCAGCCACAGCTTGCCATGGTCCCTGTTCTCCTGTACAGGCACCCAAGAAGTCAGGTGGGATTAGCTGGAGGTGAGAGTAGCTGAAGATGGGAATTAAGTTTCAGGCAGCTAATCCCTGGCCTAGGAGCCCATACAGAGACAAAGTGGCCTTGGTTAATTCAGCTTAATTAGCTTAAATGCTCTTTAGCTATATGACTTTGCAGTCATGTTTTGGTTAATTCTTTTTTACTTTTTCTCCATGTGTCCACAGAGGAACATCCTGCCCTGGGGCCTGGCAGGAGAAGCCACTGGGCCAGAGCAGAGCAGGAGGAGAGCAAGGCCCTTTTTGGGGACCGTGATCCAGGCCTTCTGCTGCTGGACCACAGGTCTGCTCATGCTTGGTCTTTACTCTGGAAGAGACCTTGCTTTGGAAGAGACCTTGCTCTGGAAAAGCTAGCTGCAGGGTAGATCCCAGCTCCCTGCTCTACCTTGCTCCCATGGGGCCCTGGCACAGCCCAGTCTGGCCAGGCACCCACCACCTCCTGGCCTGGCACCACTGAGCTCGATTCCTTTGCTGTCCCAGCACAGAGGTGAGGAACAGCCACCTGTAACAGCAAAGGGGGATCCATCCCACTCCTAATGCTGCCAGGAGAGATGGGCTGGCCCTGCCTGCCCTGCCTGCACCAGCACCCGCTGCCCAGAGCGTTGCACAGCCCTGGCATGTCCCAAAACAGTTTCTCTTCAAACTGAACTAAACTCCTCCCAGCTGTGCTCGTGAGAAGAAAGCAAATGCAAAGAGGAGAAGCCAGGTCCCCTGGGACCGGGGCTGCCTGGGCTCTGCTGCAGGCTGGGGGCCAAGGACAGCCCCAAACCCACCATCCCCCTGGGAGGGCCCTGCAGGGGGGATCTGGTGGGGCCACACGCTGCCAGCAGCTCCTTCCCACACCCTGTACTTCTTACAACGTCCCCCCAGACCCCAGACGAGCCTCCTTCAGCCTTGGCACACACAGTCCCTGGCCTTGCCCCATCCCGCACTTGGTGTCTGGGGTGAAGTGCCTGGAATCTGGGTGAACCATCTGGGATGAATTTGGGGTGTCTGGGGGATGGGACAGCCCTGCTGCAGGGAGAAAAGGAAAATCGTCCGACCCACCAAAACCGCACAGCAGAGGGACGTGCCAGAGGAGGGATCAGCTGGATAAACAAGGCTGCTTCCCTGTCAATGGAATGAAAACGCCCAGGACTTCATCCAGCAGCAGGACGGCGTGAGCCAGCGCCGGGAGAGGAGGGCTGAGGGATGGAGGCACCGGGGCAGCCTGCCCCGTGCTGGGGAATGTGTTGGCTTGCAGGGACTACAACTGGTTTTGTGAAGTGTCACAAAGCACCTCATCACCAGGGGAGGTTTTGGGGGAAGCCCGGCGCAGCGGTGCTGCCTTCATGGAGAAGCTGAGGCCGGATCGGCCGGGAAGCCATGAGAAATCCGAAAGCAAGGAATCAGCCCGGGTCCCTCTGCCAGCTGCAAGGGAGCACAGACTGAAACAAAAGGCATTAGGGAACATAAGGAGATTTACATTTGCAATGCTATTTCCATTTTAATAAGCCAAAGTGCTGTTAAATAGAGATTGATATTTCTCCCCAAATACCCATATTTTTTCAAGTGGTTTACACCAACAAGATGAGCTGGGCTTTGGTGTTTTGGTGCTGTAAAGTTGTTTAACTCATACCCGAAGCCACCGGGTGACTCAGCTCCATCCCCTTCTCCCTCCTCATCAGAAAGGAGTGAGGTTTCAGCATCAGGACCAGCCCTGAATAACAATTCCTCTCCCACAGCTCTTGCTGTCAGCCACTTTGGCAGGACACGATGCAAACGCTAAGGAGCAGCCCCAGCTCAGTGGAGTGGGAGGCATCACCCAGGAGCCCAGGGCAACGGCACATGCCAGCTGTGGTGACACGAGATGGCCCGTCCGGGGACACTGCCGGGCGCCCGGTACCCGCGTGCCAGGCACAGCTCCTGCTGCAGCACCGCTCGCTGCACCCCAACCCAAGCTTCGCTGGGAAGTTGAAGCTTTACAGGCTGCAGCACAACACTCTGCCCAAGGGGCCGATGGCCACCTCTGCCTTCGCTGCCGTCCTCCTGCACACCTGCCCTGCACACCTGCCCTGCACACCTGCCCTGCGCCTTCACACTCGTCCTTCACCTTCGCTCCTGACTTTGTCTTCTCTCCACCATCGCTCCCAACCTCCACTTTCGTGCCCACCATCCACCTTTGTGCCCATCATCCACCTTTGTGCCCATCATCCATCTTCCTGCCCATCCTCCACCATCGCTCCCAACCTCCACCTTCGTGCCCGACACCCCCCCCGTGCTCGGAAGGGCCGGGGGCTGCAGGTGCCCGCAGGAAAGGTCAGCAGAAAGGAAAAGAAAGCAGAAGGAATTACCATGTTACTGGGAAGTGGCAGAGGGGCCGGGGGGCCCGGGGCTCCGCCGGTCCCTTCCCTCTTCTTTCCTGGGCCGAGCGCTGCC